CGGATTTGGGCTATAAGTTCATTTAGCCTTGTGCTGTCCTGAGGAAACATCTCTAAACTCATTATTCGTGGTTTAAGTTTCATGTCTAGCATCTTCCCCCTAGCTTTAACATTTGTGAACCACCTGTGTGCCTGTGTTACCCTGCCAGTGCAGTTGGGAATAGAGTTCATTATTTCCTCTCTGGACACAATGACCAATTAAACTGGAGGGACCCTGGAATCCCTAGGGCCAAGATAGAGGACAAGGCAATGTGGGAATAGGTAGCCCTTTCTTAAAGGGCTCTGCTGATGTTGTAGATATCTATGAAATCAGCTTCCCACTGTAAACTCTGCTAGGAATGTGGTGAGCAGAGCCAGTGTCAATCAAACATATACCCCAGTGACTGAACACATACTATAATCCATTTTTATTTCATCCTAAGGAATGTTGTCATGTTCTCTGTTCATTATGCAGCCCAGGTTCTGTGCTAATATCATTCCAATCTGTGGGGAACAGGTCAATGAATAAGAATATCACAAGGGTTGACAGCTTAAAGAGGCTCTGCATTTATCAACCTTCTCTGAAACATGCACACAGAAAGACAGGGGTATCTCTCTGACACTTGGAAGGAAGGTGAGTGTCGAGTGCAGCAGGACTCTAAGTGATGTCCCTTGCTCACTTCACCCATGTCCTTGTCTCTGGCTAAGTAATCACTGTTCAGTTTGTTTCCTAGGAATCTTAAAATAGATGTCAACTATTTTCAGTGATTCAAACAACCTTAGTTATTATTTCATCCTTCAGAATGCACCTTTGACCATCTTATCTCCATGCATTAGAACTGTCAGTAGGATGTTTTTAAGCAAAAGAAAGAAAGAAAGAAAGAAAGAAAGAAAGAAAGAAAGAAAGAAAGAAAGAAAGAAAGAAAGAAAGAAAGAAAGAATTAGTGGCATTTAAGGTTTCTCTTGATTACTGCAGGATATATGAATGGGAAAGAGGTAAGATGACAGCAAAATGAATGTGTGCTTGTCAAGAGGTGAGTCCACTTTTCTGATAATGGAAAAGAGCAATCGGAATGAGCAGATCACACTGACATATGACACGTGGGTAGAGCAGAACACGTGAAAATTGGAGAAAATACAGTTGCTGAGTAGAGTCCTCTTATGGCCCATACCCTTCAGGTAAGCCAGTACCTGCTATTAACCATT